AATAATAATGGATCATTAATAGTTCGTTTCTTCATCTCCCTAATTGGAGGTGTAAAAACACATATAATTGACTCACTTAAGAAAAGTCACAGACAGGGACCGTCGGCGGTTCGCTAAGATATTCCTGTTAGTTGTAAACATGAGAGTGAACTTAACAGGTTCTCACGTGCTTGTTCAAATTTCCACTGATAGCCGAAGGTGACCTTGTTCTCTCAACCGCCAGACAAGATAAGGGGGAATACTTAACGGAAGAATCTGATAATGTGAACCCTGAAAGATAACGAGAAATGGCCACGTCCCAGGAAAAAAACTAATAATAATAATCTGCAGTGATGACTCTACCCCGAGGCCGTCACGGCATATGTTCATGGTTCTGGCAGAGATTTTGAGATCATCAGTCGCTTATACGTTATGTTGCTAAAGTTTGTCGTCTGACTATAGCCGTACAGTACAGTCCTGTCTTTCAACTGAGTACATGTACAGGGTCTATGTTTAACTTGTAGGATCTACCTGTACAACAAGAGAGTGCTCATTGTAATTGACTGAATAAAATACACAATCATTTTAATTCATGGATATGTATTCTAAGCTTTATTTTATATATATATATATATATATATATATATATATATATATATATATATATATATATATATATATATATATATATATATATATATACAGGCTTTTGTTGTCCTGTGGTGCCGTAGTAGCGATCCCTGTTCACACGCAGAAGTCCAGGGTTCGATACCCGACTAGTGAAATATGGTTTGTATATACAGTATGTGTGCATATATACTCGTATAGGTTATACTTGTGCGTACATGAATTTAATTGTTTCAACTCCATCAATCACGAAGCCTTGAGCAAAATCCTGTTCAAGTTATGTTGTCTAACAAAGGCTCAGGCTATCTTGACACTCCTACACGATGATGTGCAGGAGTGAACTGGATCAGGCCGGATGATGGATATTTTCAATGTCCGGTAGAAGTCTTTGTCTTATTCTTAGCTCATCTGTCTGGACTATAGGTGAGCTGCAGTGTAATTTTCGTGGTAAATTTGTTTTAAATTCTTTCCGATTTCATTAAAAAAAGAATCTTCAGCATTCTTCAGAAATATTCGCACCTCATAATACACTGCACTGTAATGTTCACAGATACTAGCAGCCACTGACTGCCATGAGGCATCTCTACCTGTAAATCTTTCCCTCTCACCTTTAATAATAGCTCTAGTTTTTGTATCAATCCTCGCACTATTCTTCTCTAGGGAGATAGTCTATATTTCAAGTCCAACTTCTCCGTCTTGCTGGTGCAACATCCGGAAGTAGACGACAGCAAATTAGAACCTCAATCGAAAAAATAATAGGAACAAGTTTTCTTTACCGAAACAAAAACAATTATTGATTGGAAAATCTTACGTTCCATGATAAACCATTTACGTGCAATAACGTTTAATAACAGCATCAATGAGAACGGTATTTAAAACGTCAACACCGTAATACTGAAAATCACCAAAGCCTCCTCCCACAGTATATTGGTATCTAAGTGAACAATCATATCCAAGTTCCTATAATACGAAAGAATAAAATATCAAGCTGGATCAAGGCACTTGTATAGGCCTTGGCTGGACGGTTAAAGGTTCACAATTAAAGGGAAGCGCCAAGATAAAGGGCGTTTGCTCCCATCTGTAGCGTCCATTAGCTCGATCAATCATACATCACCTAACGTTCAACACTAATGTTTGACTGTAATATAAGTCAATTCTAAAACACTCATATATACAAAGGTCACTACCTACATATATAAACACACTATCCAATTCCAAGTCTTCTGAGCAGACCACGCCCGATTATATAACACGTTCCTTGTTACTACTGTCTGAAATTATGTTATTCCACTCTTAAGTTTACACAGTTTACAGTCTAATCATTATAGGGGTGAACTATGGTACTTACCTACAGAAAGTAACGCCTCTGGGTCTGGCTCACACATTTAAAGTCCCCTACATATACAGTCACTCTCACATGATCACGGTTTCTATTTTAATATCCTCCTTAGTGGGAATTCATACCACACTAGTTAAAAAGAGGTGTCATATCAAACACACATACGCAGCTTCGCATAGTACCGCCTCACAGGTTCGTACTTGACTGAGTTAGAGAAAAGTGAAGAAAATAAACATCTGGCAGAGGAGGTGCACTGCTCCTTTGCCAAATGTACGATAACTTACAGTCATCTTATTTTTGTATTACGTTGTAGAAAGACATAGTTCATGATATTATCCAATCATTGTTAATAATTATAACACTGATTACCTAAGGTGACGTAAGAATAATTTAAGCATCAAATTTTAACAAGCATCATTTGTTAATATTTACGAGGATGGCTCCACCGATGGCCACCTACCGGCAAGTGAGTGAACCTAGCTGGACGATGTGGGAAGACGTCAGTTGAGGGGATACTCTTGTGTCTCCTCAGAGGACTCGACTACAGATTTTAATCGTAAAATAGAGTACCATCAACGGGTTCATGCTATTTGTAAATTCATAAAAGCAAAAGCAGCTTACATTTGAAACAGAAAGAGCAGGAAGGGATATGAATAAACCGGTTTCTAATCAAAGGAGAGTTCTAAATGACTGGATGCATATTCGGGGAAATGGCAACTTGTAAGTTGTTGCCACATCTGTACATTTATTGTTACATAAACATTCACTTCACAAGTCATCCCTCTCCAAGCATCACCAGCAAGTTGAATCCATGCAGGAATACAGTTGAAGGATAAAATTACGCCTAAACTACCCCGAGGCGGTGTTAAGACAAAGGAAATTATTGAGCTGGTGGAATTATTGTCCATACGGTAACTTTTATAGTAGAGGGATTTTGGTCTATTTTAGTGGTGGGATTTTGTCCACTTCATTTGTTTCGTTCGCTAAATCTGTTAGCAAGATTTTCTGCCACTGTTATCTTGTCCAGTGGAATTTCCTGAGCACACAGAGTAACGCAACAGTACCAACAGCAGCAGTAGCAGTGAGAGGTTGGTAAGTAGCGCAGCACCGGAGGGAACAAAGCAGACCCAAAGACCAGTGCCGCAGTGACACACACGTTCACCCTGTTCACACATCCACACAGGTAGGCACACTCACACAGCTACGCTTACAAAGCCACACATACTGCCTTACTTACCCACTCAGTCGCAGCCACATTTATCCACTCACACAGCCACACACAACACATACACACACAGCTACCATACTTACAACCACAAACATAGCCACTCACAGCGACACTCACACAGCCCCCCTTAACACACACACACACACACACACACACACACACTGCTGTAGGATCCACACTATTCTTAAAACATTTAATCTACACGACTTCCCTAGAGGCTGCTGGACAAGATCCTTGGCACTATAGCAATAGTGTCAGGGTAAAATTCAATGTATATTAATGAAAGGTTATTTAAACAAAATATAAACTTCTTGAAAAGTCCCGTGGAAGGCGCCTAAACTCGATCTTCTCGTCAACAAAGCAATATACTTAAGCATCTTCACGAGTCCGTATTGCTAAAACAAAGTTATGCCGTACGACAACTGCAACACATTTCAGGCAACGACGCATGTGATTGTACCGACAGAGTAATATAATGTATTTTCTTTACGCTGTCTTTAGTCCAGATTATTGCGTTACTTATCTTCCTGTAACGAGAGAGGAGGAGAACGATGCAGTCTCAGGGATACTTTATGGCGCAGTTTAATGTCAGTCGCCCGCTGGGTGTAGTAGCCGCAGACCACAATACTTCCTCACTTTCTTTACCAAATCTCGCAAATCGAATGCATTGATTCCTGTGCAGAGCTGAGAGGAATGAGTTCTGTTCCCTCTTGGTCGTTGGTGTTGAGAGACTGTCTTCATTTAGAATATGTCAGTCTCAGAAGAAATTTAATTAACGAAGTTCAAAGGCACAATGTTCTCTATGACAAAGGGAGTTCTAATTATATCCCAGTCATAGGAAAAAAAACCCACATCAGTGAATCAGCTTGGCAGGAGATGACAAAAGCTCTTGAAAGTGACCCTGAGATATTTAATGTCTGGCGCGTGTAGTCTAGGCATAATCAATCTAATAACTACTGTATTATATTCAGCTACGGTTCTTTTAATGTATCAGATATATTACACATAGTTGACCATTTATTTAAAACATCTACTTTGTCTTCTTATAAATTACTAGATCGAAATTGTCCTTATTCTTGTACAGGTACTCGAGTGTACAGTACTGTATACACTCATTTCTTCAACACAAATGAACTTGACCTACAGAGCCATACTGACTTTGTAAATTTTTCATTCATTTAATAAACTCTTCTTGGGTGATCACTGTGTCATGCCCGGATCACGCCCCTGGTTCTGTGTCATGCCTGGATCACGCTCCTAGTTGTGTCATGCCCGGATCACGCCCCTAGTTGTATCATGCCCGGATTATGCCCCTAGTTATGCCATGCCCGGATCACGCCCCCAGGTTCTGTTATTTTTCTTATATTATCATCTTAACAAGGTGGATCAGGGTCAAAGGTTGCCAACAGTCACCCTTACACTATTTGATAAGAGGGATACGAGCCGTGATAAGTTACCTGTTATCTTTAACCCAAAACACAACAGTGGTGACTAATTAACCTGGATTACTCATCTCCTAATACCACATAACATTAATGCACAGACCCTTGACTGAACTGAACTCTGAAATGACAGAATGAAACAAACATATGAAATGACATAACTTTTCCTTTCGTCTCCAAAGAAAAATTAAAAAAAAAAAAGTTTTACATAAAATATAAACAATGAGACGTGGATGAACACACACACACACACACACACACACACACACACACACACACACACACCTATCCTGAAATCAAACATATATGTGACACTAATCCCCCAAAAATAAAAATACACAGGCACTTGGACCCTCAATAAGTGTCACCCCGGAAAAGTGGCACCTTAGGGGATTCGGAGCTCAAGTGGCATCCTGCAATAAGTGGCACTGAAGGGGGACTGGCACTCATTACCATCTGGAGGCGCATGATATCATCTTTTAAATATAACGTACAGTTAACAACAATACTCCCGCCCCGTCTCCTCCGTCCTTCCCACAAAAGCCCCGTCTCCTACCCTCCATAACAGCCCCGTCTCCTACCCTCCATAACAGCCCCGTCTTCCCCTCCACCCTCCATAACAGCCCCGTCTCCTACCCTCCATAACAGCCCCGTCTCCTACCCTCCATAACAGCCCCGTCTCCTACCCTCCATAACAGCCCCGTCTCCTACCCTCCATAACAGCCCCGTCTCCTACCCTCCATAACATCCCGGTGTGGCTGTACTAGTAGTGTGGTGGAGACGGTGTGGCTGTACTAAGAGGCGTGGTGGTGGAGACGGTGTGGCTGTACTAGTAGTGTGGTGATGACGGTGTGGCTGCCATACTGTACACGTTCTTGGAGCACCACTCATCAAGGTTATCCCAGAAAACCGTGACTCACTGATTCTTGAGAAAATAAATCAGGAGAGAGAGAGAGAGAGAGAGAGAGAGAGAGAGAGAGTAATAAAGAATTTAACAATAATTATTAAGAGATAATACACAAACAAGAGCCACATAGGAACTAATGACGCCCACAAACTCTTGACAAATAAACAACACCCGGACGCCCCTGGAGGATGGATGGGGGGGTGCCGTATGCAGGTACTCACCAAAGTAGGCTAATGCTCCCTCCGCCTGCTCTGGACTAAGTGCCTCTACTTCCTCCTCCTTCAATGCTGGGAAGCTCACTCCCCAGTCGGCGTTGTCGTATCCTGCGGAGAACAACATGGACCGTCAATACACACTTTTGTTACCGAACATATAGTTAAGCACCTACACATGATTAGTGATATACTGATACATTAATACTCGAATGTATAAATGATGGGAATCTAGTAAGGCAACAACTTGTATATAAATGAAAGGGGATCAAGTACTACAAATGTAAGTAACTCTACATATAAGGGAATTCACTACAATAAATACAAGAGTACAAAACACTACAGGAAGGAAGATCCAGTACTATAAACACAGGTAAATATAAATGAAAGAAGATCCACCATTCTCAACACAGGTACATGAATACACTTATGAATGAATAGAGATGCCGCACTAGAAATACAATTGAACAAACAAAAATAAATACTACTATTATTACACTGCAGGGCATAATAGTAGAAGCCAACACAGTTATTAACCATGAAACACACAGGTAAATCTTAATGACCTTAAATGTGGGCAAATTCATATAGAGTTTCTTTATGACTCATTATATGTCAGAAATAAATTAGTAAATGTAACCATAATTATTATCAACAAACAAACTGTAAATATTTAATTAGCCGTTTAAAAACTACAGCGGTCATTAAACGACTCCTAGAGAGTCATTTAGACACGTCTCTACCGTGAACTACAGTGTATAGTAATAAAAAGTAGTCGCCGGGTACTGTAAATATTATGTAAGCTTAAGGTATGGTAAGGTGGAAATACTTGTACTGTACTAAAGATACCATAAGTAATATTACAATAAGATATTCCTAGATATAATTAAGTTCCAAGGTAATAGTGGTACACATTATTTTATTTTCTCATGTTTTTTCTCTCTTAGTATAACTTAGTGTTTACTTCAAGATCGAATTGTTTCCCATCTAATCTATCTTTCCCATTCAATTTTACTCCCTCGTTGTAGTGCCCCTGAGGTGGACGACTTCCCACCATCCAGCCATCCTTTAACTCTCTTGCCTCTGCTCCTGGGTGTTCTAGCCGTCCCCCTGGTGCGCACACACACACACACACACACACACACACACACAGTACAGGAGACTCATGGATCACAAGTTTAATATTACCTGAGAACTTCACCTTTATAAGTTTATGGTTACTTTGTGTCTATCACGTCACCAAATAACTTGAGGAAGAGGTGAGGTAGAGGTACACTAGTATGGTCTCACCCTGTACGCTGGATAATCTTCTCTGACGGGTAAGATAAGACCTACCAAACTCTACCGCTTCTTCCTTCACTCACCCAAAACAAAAAACAAAGGGAAAGTTGAATATCCAGCTATCAAGTGTATCATTGTTTTCCCCCGAGTGTTGTAATAATGGACACAAGTATTATTAACCACGAAACATAAAGGTATTTAAAATATATTAACACCTATGGATAATATACGCTATTAGGACGTTGTTTAGTTATTCTGGGGAACTTCCTTATACCTGATCATAAAGCAAATAAGGAGAAGTTCTGTTCCTGTTATCATCCCCCTGCTTATCTCCCCTCTCCTCCCCCCCATCTTTCCCTCCCTTCTCCTCTCTTCCCTACGTCACTTTCCCCCCATACTGTACACTGGGTTACGACAATACATCTATTTCCAGAGTTCCAGTCCATTTTGAGCGCCTGTTTGAACGCTACATTTATGATATAATATATAATATGACATTAGTGAACTTGTCAGATGTGTTTACAAGCCACCAATTATTGACAATTATTAATGTGTGATTATCTAGAGTCGGGGTGCCTGTACATTTTCCAGGATATGTGTGACTGTCTGAAAATTTACTCTTTAGTTCTCCTGCATTGTCAGAGAAGAGCTTTTCAGAGATCCTTCCACCTACCCACCCACCCACCCTACCACACAGACACCCACCCACTCACCCAGACGCCCTCCCACCCACTTACCAAGACACCCTACCACAAGGATACCCACCCACCTACCCAGGAAAGTAGGGAGATGGCGAAGGGAGAGTGAAGAGGCGGGATAGAGGGAGGGTGGAAATAAGGAGAGGAGAAAGAGGGAGGTGAGGGGGAAAGGATAGGCAGGGGGGAATGGTGAGGGGAAAGAGGAGGTGGATGGGAGAGAGGGGGAAGAAGTGGAGGGACGGAGGGAGGAGGAGAGGGGAAGGGACTCAGCTAAGAGGTTAACCACAATCTCTTGAGGAATAATTGCATTAGTTCGTCTTACTCCAGATTACTGCCACTCTACACACACGACCACATTGTAGTGCCACGTGTACCTCCCACGAGAGACACGATCATACACATACACCCACCATGGAGACCAACAACTACCCAGCCTAAACATACACACATAATCATACCCCACACATACACACATACACACACACATACACACACGCACTAACTAGACGGGACAACAAACACCATTACATTATTCCGGGACCTAACGAACAAGACTGACAACAAAGAACCTCGCTGATTGGTCGACTGACGCGCCAATCAGTGTATACCTTCCATTACGTGATGAACCAGACGATAGAGTTAACAGTTAGTATATAAAGTGCTCATGGCGTAATGAATGAGATGAGTGCTTTTATCGCGTTGCCAATTAGTAAATAAAGTATTCAATAAGCAACCAATTTAGAAATAAAAGCTGCCAATTAGTGTAATGAATCCATGGGTATTAATTAGTGTTCTCGTAGTCTCTGGGTGTCAACATAATTGAAAATATATTTATCTGGTTTCCGTTTTATTTCATATCCTTTATTCTTATTAATTTACTAACTTACTATTCCCCTGAAGATAGATACAAATAACATGCGTCTAACAACCCCAAGATTATTTCACTTACACCAGAAAACAAAAGAAATAAACCACTCACAGTATATTCAAGAACAGTTATGGGGTGTACAACGCCATTTACGATGACCTTCTTGCCCTGATCTTTTTGTCAGCAATATCGCCTTTAACACATGGAACTCTACACTTTTCGAAGCTTTGGAGGAGTCTCGGAGCAAGTTTCCTGGTGGGAATTATTAGCTAATAGTACTCAAAACATCGAAACTTCGAGATCTCTCCAGAGCTTCGAAAAGGTGGTATTCCTGAAACAAGATCAAGGCAAGAAGGTCATCGTAAATGGAGTCGTACACCCCATGACTGTTCTTGAATACGGCATCCGACTTACCGCCCTCCCCTCATCCCCAAGACACGACTAGTATCCGATTATTACCTAACAGATATATAAAAATCTGAACACACACGCGCCCTCTGACAGGATATACGAGAGCCACACACAACACGAGTACATAATACAACGACACTCTCCCTCCTACAGGAAGTGAGTACATCTGGATTCCTTAACACTTTCAGGACGATGGTTTAAGCTATCGTTCTCATGGAAGTTAAATCCTTGTTCTTTCATATTTAAACCATAGTCATTTTAAACTCTTGGCTTTAGATAATTACATCATTATCTTGTTAAATAGCTAAACCTTCATCCTTGAGGAATTAAACCATCATCCTAACAGTGACGAGCCATTATCCTGTTAACCCTCGTCCTCCATATGTCATTTCTATGTGCCATGGAGTCAGAAGACCTGGCGGTGCGCCCCTAATTATCCATAACATGACTCAGGTGTTGTCAAATTACCTGTGTGTGTGTGAGACGACAGCAGGGAAGTGAGGCTACAGTAGATGGGGGTCGATCAGGAAGGGGGGGGGGTGGCAAGGGGTTGGAGGGAGGAAGGGGAAAAAGCCAAGAGAGGGGAAATACTAAGGGGGGAGGGAGGGAAGCCAATGTGTTGAAGCCAGCGAGAAAAACCCAGAGAGGAAAACATGTTGTGTAGGTTTTAATTAAGGCTTCCCAGACGATGCTTGCCAACCTCTCCACAAACTCTCGGTAATTACACACAGGCCCAGGAACCTAATTAATCTAATTTAATTAAGCATACTTCATACACTACACACAAAGCCCTTCACTTAATTACACCCAATAGACGCACACACACTACCTGAGAAAACATTCCATTTACCTGAAGATATCGAATAAAACATTAAAGAGAAAACATTACCTGAGGACAATCAACAGCCTATGAAGACAAACTTGTATTTAAATGAAGAAATCAATACCCCCACCCCCACCACCCACCCCACCCCCACCCCCCACCCCCAATAAGTAAAGTATTCAATTAAAACTACCGAACCAACTCTGATCTTTAAAACACGTCGAGGATTAATCTCCTCTAATTAAACGTAAGCGAAGCCAGTTGATGAAGGCCCAACATATACGTGAGTTATCTTCCACCGAGTTATTCTGAGGTAAACGAGACGGAAGCCGAGATGTAAGACACTAAAGTTGCCTCAAGACTCTTAAACAGACCTTCAAAAGCGTCTCTGTCGGGAGAACTTGATGGCTGAATAATTACATGCGTGAGCAGGTGTGGCAGCGGCTGAGAGAGAGTGTACAAAGCGACGTTCTCATGAATTTCTTTGTTCCAGTTTGTGTGTGTGTGTGTGTGTGTGTGTGTGTGTGTGTGTGTGTGTGTGTGTGTGTGTGTGTGTGTGTGTGTGTGTGTGTGATTTCACAAAAGGTACCAACGTATGGCCAGTCAAAGAGAGAATAATGTATTCTTCCGCATAAAATTTCCCAGGACTCTTCCCCAAAAAATTTCTTCTATCAATACAAATATAATTCAGTATTAGTTTCGAGTATCTTTCCCTTCTACTAGGACCACAGACACCTCAGAAAGGCTTAAACATATACTCGTATTTTCTAATATAACAAATTTGCCAATAAAATACTATGGTGAAAAAAAAAAACATACACTCCCATCAAACACAAACTAAAAGCTTTAAAGAGAGAATAATGTAGGTGGAAACAGCACTCACGAGAGACGGATCAAAACCAAGGTTCAAAGATGCAACCTCGAGCCCGAACCAACACACAATACACGGGTACAAAACGCTTCGCTAGGAGGGTCCTTCTCTACTCGAACCAACACATTCACTCCAGCCATGAGTCCTGGAACCATGCCA